TTAGTGTAACGTCTGTACGTCCTCACATGCTGATGTAACATCTGTACGTCCCCACATGTTAGTGTAACGTCTGTACTTCCCCACATGCTGGTGTAACATCTGTACGTCTCCACTTGTTATTGTAACATCTATATGTCTATACCTGTTAGTGTAACGTCTGTACGTCCCCACATGCTGGTGTAACATCTGTACCTCCCCACATGTTAGTGTAACGTCTGTACGTCCCCACATGCCGGTGTAACATCTGTACGTCTCCACTTGTTATTGTAACATCTGTACATCCCCACATGTTAGTGTAACGTCTGTACATCCCCACATGTTAGTGTAACATCTGTACATCCCCACATGTTAGTGTAACGTCTGTACATCCCCACATGTTAGTGTAACATCTGTACATCCCCACATGTTAGTGTAACGTCTGTACATCCCCACATGTTAGTGTAACATCTGTACATCCCCACATGTTAGTGTAACGTCTGTACGTCCCCACATGTTAGTGTAACATCTGTACATCCCGACATGTTAGTGTAACGTCTGTACATCCCCACATGTTAGTGTAACGTCTGTACGTCCCCACATGTTAGTGTAACGTCTGTACATCCCCACATGTTAGTGTAACGTCTGTACGTCCCCACATGCTGGTGTAATATCTGTATGCAGCATCTTGTAAATTAAACCGTTTACAAACCCATCATTGGGCTGCATGTTCAAATCAAACTGGTTCTTTGGAGTAATTAGTTGTTTTTTATCATGCCAGTAAGTATATATTTAAAAATAAGCTTAAAGATATTTATCTTTTTTTATTTGACCTACTTTTTATGTAATTATAATTTACATTTTTAATCACTGTGCACACGCATTTAGATTTTCAGACAGTTTAAATTCCAATAGAACAATAAAAGCTTATTGTTTACAAACTAATGTGTTTATCATGCAGAGTAAACAAGAGTTCATTCTCTGTGCTTTAGTTTGTTGACAATAGTTCACATCTGTCACACAGCATATTCTTCTGTGCTGTAAAAAGGTAATGGATTTCATTTTTATGGAGTTTCAGTTTCACCCAAACATTCACGCTGTTTCTTAGCATGTTTGTCTTAATAAGTTCACATTTTTACACTATCGCCCTTCTCTAGTTTTTAATCCAACTTTTATAATTTAACCTACTGCTTATATAAAACAAGTTTTTCAATAAAGAAATGTGTTTGCGCTCCACAGGTGCATTGTGAAGATCACAGGAGACGTGACGTTATCATTCCCCATGGGCATCATCAAGGTTTTCACCTCCAACCCGTCCCCAGCCGTCCTCACCTTCAAACTGAAGAACACCAGCAGGCTGGAGCAGATCCTCCCCAACCAACAGCTTTTATACAGGTCAGGAGAGCGTTTTCACAAATAACTGATGAAATGACAGAGTCATGGCTCAGACTGAGCGAGGGGGAGTCAGTCATGAGTGTAAAATACCAGAAAATGCTCTCTGCACCACTGAGAGGAAATTTACTTAGTCATCTGACATAAAGCTATCATTAAGTTGTCAGGGAAGTATTTTCCACAGACAGGTGTCTATAGAAAGAGCAAAAACTCACTTCATATAGCATGTGCTTCATTCAACACTTCAGTCGTTTAACATATTATTGTGTTTCTCACCTCATTAGTTAAAGGTGAAAGTATTCCACCTCCTGTGTAAGGCTTCTCTCACTAAAGTTTTAAGTTTCTCAGTTTTGTTCTAAAGCTTATTTTTTTCCAAAAAGGAGGACATAATTGTTTCTTTTCTGATGTTTCATGATTCTCGCTCTGGTTCCTCTCAGTTATTCTGAAACCATAAAGCTGGGCTAATTGAATCAACTGCAGTTCATGATTTAGTAGCTGGTTGAATTTAACTGGCTCATTTTTTCCAACCTATTGGAGCTTTACACACCAAGCCAAGAAGGGTGATGAATAATTGAGCCTCTCTTTGTGTGTGTTTGCCTTTTATCCAGTGATTCTTCCCAAAGTGACTCAGATTCCAAGGACTTCTGGTTCAACATGCAAGCACTGACATCCTACCTCAGAAAAGCGTCAGAACAGAACCCTTTAGCTTCCTATTATAACGTGGACATCTTAAAGTACCAGGTCAGTCAGCCAACACCAACCTCAGAACTTCACCCAGACAAAACAACATGGGTTGAAGATTATTTGTAGAAGCATATTTTCTAACTTTACAGTCTGATTCTGAGTAACAAAAGAGTATTGTCATAAAGCTGGGGAAGTGGGGAGGGGACAAAAGCAGTGTTGAATGTATATTTTTATGTCAGATGTATTTTTGGTTCTTCTGCTCAGATCACTGTTTATTTGAATAGTACTGTTGGGTTTCCTCCCACAGACCAAAAACATGTATGTTGGACTGATAGGTAACTCTAAATTGTCTCTAGGTGTGAGAGAGAGAGTGAATGGTTGTTTGTCTCGTTTATCTCTATATGTCCCTGTGATGGACTGGAGACCTGTCAGGGTAGGACTGAGTGATGTATCACGAGATTTTCTATTTACGGTGGTTAAAATGGCTCTATCACAACCATCGAGTATTATTAGACTTGAAAATCTGTGTAGTTCTTTTTCTCCTGTCTGCGCCTCCAACTTCACACAGCCCCTCCCTCTCCCTTTCTGAATACAAACACAGCACTTCACCCGTGCACGCTGCCCCCACTTCCTGCTTCTCCAGATGGGAGGGAGTTAACACAACAAGTAAAGCCCCCAGTATACTCCCGCGTACGTCCGTTCACGCGTACGTACGCGTGTACTGTACGCAGAGGGTTCAGACTTCCTACTCGAGCGTACACCCTGAGCAGCTGCGGTCAGCTCCACAGACAAGGGGCGTTTACCTTCGGGACAAATTGAGTTTGCCAATTGGTCATTTGCTGACAGGCCTACTGGATTGATTGACAGGTCGGAAAAAAAAAGAGAGCTGGCAGCCTCAGCCGCAGCAGTGTTCTGTGTTTATATGTTGTTAGTAAAAAAGATTAAAAAAAAAAACAGGAGGCGCTGGCTCTGCAGCCCACACATCAGACCAGCCCACCAGGTAGTCTCCAGACCCTCTCGCAGCCACACTGGACCTGAGTTTATAATTCGCTCATGACAAATTCTTTCATTTCTCACCATTTCAGTCATGGCATCAACGGGGGAGGAAGAGATCTCTGTCTCTTGGCAAAAAAACAAAAGAAAAGGCCAGATCAGAGATGAAGAAGGAGAATTAATACATTGGTGTCGCATACAAAACAGTCCGTCGCTGGGCAGTTTATTGTGCGACACCACGTACGCGGTCGTAAAAATTGAGCTTTGCACGGGCATGCCCTGGGGGGTACGCTCGTACCTCCGCGTGCGTACGTGCGTATCTCCGCGTATGGACGTACGCGGGAGTATACTGGGGGCTTAAACAGGAGAGCAGCTTAGCTGCTGTACAACAAGAAAAACAATGGCTGTTATTTGGAGGTGGTTTGGATTTAAATTGTCAGATGAGCAGCAGAAAAATAATTATGTAGACAACGCTGAAAACAAGTCCCGACAAAGGTCAGAACTACGAATCTTTTTCACCATTTAAAACAGCGCTATAAGTTATTTTCAGGTGTTTTCAGACTCCTTTCCTGAAACAAACCGTGGGTCAGAACTCGTTTATTAGCCGTGCTGTGCTTTATGAGAGGAACACTGTGAGGTAGCGCCACATTAATAAAGCAGCAGCTTATCATATCGAACACACGGTCCCAGTCTCAACTGTGGAACAAGACGGCTAAAGTTAGCTGTCTTGTTAGCCGCTAAGGACCGAGTCTTCAGCGATATGATAAGCTGCTGATTCATTAACGTTGCGGCACCTCTCATTGTAAGACTTGAAAATATGTGTAGTTCTTTACTGCCTGTCCAACTTCACACAGTGAAGTGCTGCTTCACTCACGCTCACTAACGTTGTGAAGGCGGCGCAGCTCAAGAGGATTGTTATTTAATATTTGTACGGTAAATAGTTTAGTTTTTAGACATTTAGTAGAGTTACAGATGTTTGTTAATAAATGTGCCTGTGTGACAAATGGGACAAAGCTTTGACTCAGAAATATATTTTTGTTATTACTTTATGGAAAGAAAAAAAAAATTAATTCATTCAACCTTTATTTATACAAGTTAGTCTCATTGAGCCTCAGGACTCTTTTACAAGAGAGACCTGTTTTTAATAAATAATGATGACAACAGTAGACAATCATAAAAGAAAACATATGAATTGAAAATATAAATGGAAGAAAATTATATTAAAAAATTAAACAAAAACAGCTACATTATAAAACAATATAAAATACTAAAAACAGGAACATGTCTGCATTGGTTTGTTCCATGAACTTAGCAGATATTTGAATATCGAGATATATGTCCTATATCGCAATTTATCTTAAAAGTATTGAGATATTAATTTTGGTCCATATCGTGCTGCCCTAGTCCACGGTGTCCTCCGCCTTTCACACAGTGATGGCTGGATAGGGGCACCAGTGACCCCCGCGACCCAAAAAGGGAGAAGCGGCTAAAGATAATGGATGAATGTTTGTATTTGAGTCTGTTTGAACCTCAAGTTTCATTAATAATCAACATGTCATTTTCTCATATTCAAAACAAAAGCCCATAGTGGGTTTTGTGTGTGAACCTGTTAGAATTTGGATCAAACTAAAACATCAGATTGCAACACATTAACACAAGCAACCGCGATCATCAAACACTTTATGATTATTTGAAGCAATGCACATCACCCCGTGGATTACATCTCAGCTACAACCACTCTAAAGTTTAGCTCAATATTTATAAAACTGACAGAGTTAAAATGACTTATATATTAGTTGAGGTGCACAAATGCTTTATTTACATTAAAAGGGAAAAACAATTAGTCGTAAATAAAATACAAGAAGATAAAAGTCAATATAAGATGAGGATGGTGGGAGGATATGTTGCCATGTTGTGCAAATTGTTAAATGTTGTTGAGGTAAGTTGTACTGTTTCCAGGAATTTATCAAACTGTGACGGCTCTGAGAAGAAAAGATCATTTCAGTAAATATACTGGATATATATATATATATATGTATATATGTATATATATATATGTATATATGTATATATATATATGTATATATGTATATATATATATATATAT